CTCTCTCTCTCTCTCTCTCTCTCTCTCTCTCTCTCTCTCTCTCTCTCTCTGTTTAAAATGTGTTTTACAAGTTATTTGGTAGCCTCACTTCTCTTTCTGGTTGTTAGGTTTTATATCAGAGTTTAAAGGACTTATTGGAATATGAAGGGAATGTGGAAGATGATATGATGATCACTTTCCAGATATCACAGACAGATCTTTTTGGTAACCCAATGATGTATGATCTAAAGGAAAATGGTGATAAAATTCCAATTACAAATGAAAACAGGAAGGTAATAAAATTTTTCTGTCATTGTTTTGTAAATATGTAATTTCAAAGCAGTATTCTTAGAGTTTTCAAAGAATTATTTAATACAGTTTGAAGCAGTAACAAAAACATTATAAATAAATTCATATAAATAGTAAAGGTATATTTTGCTAACTATTAGATAAAAGCTGATGTAAGTGTACACATTAATTGCTAATCCCTCTTTAGAGAAAGAGTACATATACTAGGAGAAAATGAATGGGTAAATATAATAGTAAAATACCTGAAACAGGGCATTACCATATTCAACCCTTAAGGTAAACAGGGCCCAGTGATTAAGATCCTATTTAATTTGAAATCTGATTATACATATTAAAATTATTCTTTTCATTAGATTTGGTTTCTAATAACTTGAAAATATATTCATTTGGGAATAGGAAATAAGGACAGAATAAGAAAATTACAATAAATAGTATAATTTTTAAGAAATGTGTAAGTTTATATAACTATATTTTTGATATTACATATTTTTGATAAAATATGTCAAGATACAGAATACATATTTGTAATTTGATGCAGTAGCTTAGCTTACCAACAAATAGTGTTTTTGCAGAACTGGACATAGTAGGTAGTTTACAATATCTCTAGTAGAAAACATGAGATGTTCTGGTTTGCTCAAATTCAATATTCATATATTTATATTTGCATACTTGTTTAAAGGACTTTGAAATGTTGTGTTGTGTCTCTGTTTTTATATTAATTTTTACTATTATAAAATTTTATTTTAATTCCTATTTAATTCTCAGAATCATAATCTATATGTATAACTCATGTTTACTTATATATTAATATGTCAGAAGTGAGGAATTGTGAAAGTATTTTTCTTTGTCCATACAACATCTAACATATTTTTTAGAGACTTAGGTTTGTCTTATATGCATGAGTGTTTTGCCTGTATATATGTTGGTGGATTGTTTGCATATAATGCCCATGGAGGCATGAGGGTATTTAGTTTCCTGGAAGCGAAATTACAGGTGGTTGTTAGATGCCATGCTAGTGCTGGGAATTGAGGTTAGATTCTCTATAAGAGTTGATAATGCTCTTAACCACTGAACCATCTCTCCAAAATAATTTTTTTAATTTTTTTTTTTTAAAAAGTACTCTTGAAGGATTTCTCTTGGGTGGGGCTAAAAGCGGCTATGCAGCCTAATAGCTATTTGTGTTCACTTGTATAGCATGTTAATGTTTAGTATGTGAATGTATAGCAGGTGAATCTTGTTTTTAATGTTTTACAGGAATTTGTAAATCTCTATTCCGACTACATTCTCAATAAATCAGTAGAAAAACAGTTCAAGGCGTTTCGCAGAGGTTTTCATATGGTGACTAATGAATCTCCCTTAAAGTACTTATTCAGACCGGAAGAGATTGAATTGCTTATATGTGGAAGCCGGGTAAGAAAGACATCTGCAAAAACACCTCATAATTTAGTCTTTTGAATGGTGTGACATAGATGCTAAAGTGTATTTTTTTTTCTATAATTTTCAGAATCTAGATTTCCAAGCATTAGAAGAAACTACAGAATATGATGGTGGCTATACAAGAGAGTCTGTTGTGATTAGGTGAGGTGTTTAATTCTTAAGAAGGAAGATTTTACTCATCAAAGAAGTTTGTGTGTATTGTGATTCAGACCTGTATCTGTTGGTGTTGCTTCCCAAACAAGCAATCTCAAAGGCTCTCATCTGTAAAAGTAGACTTCTATTAATATTACCAACATTCATACAGTCTAATGGTTTGTTTGATTAATTAAATGGTTATCTAAGTCTCATGGTTTTGGTTTATTTCTGGTAATGTATAAAATGGTACATTCTTTAGTATTTAAGATACAAATGTCTTGAAGACATTTGGGAAGAATGATATGTACTGGTGTTTCTGAACAATTCTCAGAACAGTATTACCAGTACTGTCTTTCTCTAGTCAGATGCCCTGGTTATTGTTCGTACATCTCTGTACCATACTAATATTCAATTCTGAAAGACAGGTTCCTGATCCCCTAATATAATTGGTAAAAATGACAGATAGGCCCTTTTGGTATCCCTTGTTTGTGTGAAGTCGCAGGCATTTAAATAGGTACCTTTTTGGAAGATCACTCAAGCTGTTAAGACTTGAGTATGTAACAAACAGAATGAATATTAACTATGTCTAGTAATGACACATTATATTGGTTAGTTTTATATTACAGTATTATCTTATTAATTTTCTAGGTTTTTAGAAGATTACTGTTGCTTTGCCCTGCAGCAGTCATAAGTGTGTTTACAATGACAACCATGATATTGCTCCTAGACACTCAGTTTCAAAGGGTTGAAATAACATGCTAGTAGGAAAGCCTTAATGGGAATATCATAACATTATCTCGGTAATAATGTTGATCCAAAATAGACCTTCTCACAGAATTAATATGAGAAAACTAGCATTACAATGCATTTCATTTTAGAACAGTAAAAGTATCCTGGACTTTTGTTCATGGATATATTATCTTAGAAACAAATCAAAGTTTTGTGTTTTTGTAACTGTACCATTCTTATGTCATGCTTACCTTGTTTGTGAATTCAGGGTTTAATGGAAAAAAAATTACATCAGTAATAAAGCTTCAAACTTAACAGTTTATAGTATCATAAATTTTGTGAAACTACAACTTTTTATTTTTGTTAGTATAAACACAGTGAAAATTTCTTTGGAATTTTTAGTTACTAGGAAGTCAAACACTAAAATAAACCTCTGATATTCTCCCACCTCCTAAAAACTTATAATACAGGAACCTTTTAATAATTATCACATGTATTCAGAATTTATAAAATCAGAATGCACAAGTAAGGTTTTATTCATGTATTTTTCATTTGGAAAAGTTCTACCTGATTCCTTTTTTTTCTACTTAAGAGATTTTTTTTTCAAGTGCTCCGTCCCCTTACTTTTTGAGATTAGTTTTTTGATTAATCAGTTAAGTTTGATTTAATGTATATCAGTGTTTTGCCTACATGCATATATGTACGAGGGTGTCAGATCCTGTTAAGACAGTTGTGAGTTGCCATGTGGGTGCTGGGAATTAAACCCAGGTCCTCTGCAAGAACAGTCAAAGCTCTTTACTGCTGAGCCATTTCTCCAGCCCCATCAATTTATCTTTTAATGGATTAATTTCTATTTCAAAGGCTTGATTCAGCCTCGTATTTGATTTCTTTCCTGCTTAATAAATATTTATTTATTAAATAAATAAAGTTACTTTAGACTTAATAATCTCCACCTTTTAGTAATTTTTGCTCTGGATGAAGATAGACTACTTTCATGAATGCTATCAGATGATGATAGCGTTACTTTTAGTTCACATTTTATTACCTGTAGTATTGATAAGTATTATATGTAGGCCTCCTCAAGTTTTGATTTACCAGAATTAGGGATGAATATTATATTGTATGCCTTTCATGATAAATGAGTCTTTCTCAATATTTTTTGTTTAACAAAATCTTATAATAGCTTATTTGCTTTCTAAACAGTCATTTCTTAAACATTACAAATATGGTGTTGGTGACAATAGTGATACTAATGTGTGAGGTAACTTTTAAGTACAGGGAAATAAGTAGAACTTCATTGGGAAATTTGAACATTGGGATAATTACACCTTTGTAACATCAAGATTCAGACTTTATTATCCAAGTTCTTGCAGTTGTTTCCAGTTGATTCCTGTCCCTATGGTCAATCACTGTTTAGATTTCTGTAACAGTGGTTTTGTTTTGGTTTGGTTTTTTATCCTTTTTTTCTTTTTTCCTTTTTTAGTGTGTTCCCGAATTTAATATAAATGGAATCATAGAGTTTGCCTCTTTGCAATCTATTTGTTAGTATACTAATTTTACAGTGTAGTTTTTATGGCAAAGTAGTTTTGTAGATGAATGTATGATTTTCCATTTTTCTATTATAGATGGCAGTTGGATTTTCTTGAGATTAGAACTAATACAAGTAATGTTATCCAGTCTTAAAGTTGAAGCATTTTCATTTATCTTATAAAATATAGGAGCTAGAGGCTTATAGTTTTGTAGTAGATACATTTTTAGCTTTAAGAAACATTGCAAGAATGTTTTTTGCTAACTGGCAGTGCCATTTCATCCTAGGAGGACCAGTAGTCATCCAGAGGTCAGTTCTGTATCTCTTTTAGTCTTTGGTCTTGTTGATCCATAGACCTCTTGGAGGAATATGAAATAAAATCGCATTGTAGTTTAAATTTGCATATCTCTGATTACTCATGATGTTGAGCTGGCTTCACTTTTATTTATTTATATATTTTTTCCCTTTGTTAATTGTCCTCCCTGTTTTTCTTGTCATTGGTTATGAACTTTTTCTTTTAAAATATATTCGTGATAACAGATCATCACTAACATGTTATACATGTGTTCTAGTTTGGAGCTTTCTTTTCCCCACTGAATTTCTTTTTTGTTGAAAATGAGGTACTAATTCTATTCATTTGTTTTTTGGTCAAAGTCACACCTTGTTGATTCCTTTTTGTTTATAAGCAAGTCTTTAAATTGGGAAGTGTGAGTGCCTTTACTTTTTTCCTTTTTCCTTCTCTATTGCTTTCACTGTCTTACTTTCATATAAATATTAAAATCTGTTTTGAATTTTACATGAATACTATAACATTCCTTTGAGATTTTGATAAAGAGATTTCTTTGATTAAGTAAATAATCTGAGAATTGTCATTTTTACCAGTTTGTATTCTGTAAACATCATGTATGACATAGACCTTTCCATTTATTTATACATTAATTTCTTCCAGCATTATCTTGTAATTTTAGTGCTAAAATATTGTATGCTTTAGTTAGGAATAAATTTGAATGTGATATTTTTCTTTTTGTAAATACTTTTCAAAATTTAAATTAAAAACAATCTTATTTACACACCCATCCCAGTTCCCTCTTCCTCCTGCCCTCCCATGTCCCCCACCAACTCCCCATCCCACCCCCCTCCATTCACTTTCTAGGGAGGGTGCATCCTCCCATGGGGGATCATCAAAGTCTGTCATGTCATTTGGGGCAGGCCCTCACCCATGTATCTAGGCTGAGAGAGTATCCCTAGGGATAAAAACTGGTTCCACTGCCAGAGGCCCCATAGACTGCCCTGGTCTCCCAACTGATACCCACATTCAGGGGGCCTGGTTTGGACCTATGCTGCTTCCCCAGTTGTCAGACTGATGTCCTTATACTCATACTTGCTCAGGTGAGCCGTTTCTGTGGGTTTTACTGGCATGGTTTTGACCCCTTTGCTCATAACTCCTCCCTCTCCACAACTGGATTCCAGTAGTTCAGCTCAGTGTTTAGCTGTGGATCTCTGCTTCTGTTTCTGCCAGCTACTGGGTGAGGGGTCTATGATGGCATTTACAGTAGTCATCAGTCTCATTTAGGGGAAGGGCATTTAAGGTAGCCTCTTCACTATTGCTTTAGTTGGGATGGTCCTTGTGGATCCCTGGACATTTCCCTAGTGCCAGATTTCTCTTTAAACCTATAATGGCTCCCTCTTTTCAGGCATCTCTTTTCTTGGTCTCTTTCTTTATTTTTCCCTTGCCTCAATCTTCCTGATCCCTTATGTTCTCCACCCCCCACCCTGTGCACTCAAGATGGCAATCTTACCAGAAGCAATCTACAGATGCAATGCAATCCCCATCAAAATCCCAGCACAATTCTTCCCAGACCTTGAAAGAATACTTTATATGGGAAAGAAAAAAGAAAAACAGGACAGCCAAAACAACCATGTACAATGAAGGCACTTCTGGAGGCATCACCATCGCCGACTTCAAGCTCTACTATAGAGCTATAGTAAATGAAAACCGCTTGGTATTGGCATAAAAACAGATACATAGACCAATGGAATCGAATTGAAGACCCTGATATTAACCCACACACCTATGACACTATGACACCTATGACAAACTAAAATTATACAATGAAAAGAAAGAAAGCATCTTTAACAAATGCTGCTGGAATAACTGGATGCTGGAATATGATGTTTTTCTTATGTGTTATTTCATTTTTTATTTCTGAAACTAAGCTTGTAATTACTTCTTAACTTGCATAAAGAGCCTTGTCAGATACTTCATACATCTTATTGACCTCTATGTTGGCTACAGTTGTTTTTATTTCCTAGTTTTTGGTCTGGTAGTGTTTTTATTTTTTAAGGGTTTGTTATTGTTGTTTTGTTTAAAATAGTTTTGGTTTTCATACAATATATTCTGATTACAGCTTCCCCCTTCCCCTTCTCTCAGGTCCTCCCATCTGGAGCCACATCTTTTCTGTCTCTTGTATGAAAGCAAACAGGCATCTAAGGAATAATAATAAAATAAATTAAGAAAAATGAAAAACAGGTTGGAATATGGCAAAACCCAGAAAAAGAGCCAAAGGAAAAAGTACAAGGAACACATATAGATATAGAGACACGTTTGCATACTCAAGAATCTTACTAAAAAAACCCAAAACATAAAGCCATAATACACAGTCAAAGGATCCTTAAGGGAGGGAGGGAGAGAGGGAAACCTCTTGACTTTCCATTATGAGATGAAGAACCTCTGTAGATGCTGTTTCGT